ACTTTAGAATAATTTTTTTAATAAAAATAATAAAAGTATAGGTATATAAATTTTTTAAAAAAATAAGATATCTTAAAAATAAGATGATTATTTGTAGTTCAGGTAGTGTTAATATTTGATAGTATCTTAAAAATATATTATAACATATATGTGATAAGTATGGAAGGAGTCTACGGAATTATGTGAAAATAATAGACAGATAATGATTATTATGTAAGTTATTAAATTTTGTATTTATATTTGGGAATTCTTAAAATTATCTAATGAATATCCATTTTATTCGCGTTGATTAGTCTAAGTATAAAATTATTTGCATTTAAATTTATGAATCGCATGAATAACGTGAAATAAATAATAATACAATTGACGATTATAAAGAGGTTCGGATTGTGAAAAAATGTGCGTATTGCAGATAATATAATACGGTGATGAATGATGTCAGGCATGACTACTTAATGATCGAATATGTTCGATCACTTATCGACCGACCATACTCAAAAAAATTTATGATCGATCACGATCAAACAAATCAAATGAACGATCATTCCCTAATCGATCATCATCTTTAGTCATTATAACGGGATCAATTATTCGTAATTCTTCTTTAAGATTATTACGGGCTAACGTATCTATTTCCTTTGATACTTGAGAAATTATTTTCTAAAAATCAGATTTACATTAATAATGAGCCCTAGATAAAGAGTATAAAATCTGTGTGCGCATAGTTCAAATTGACAATAAAATGTCACATGTCCTCCAGGTTTTATACTGCTTAGATAAATACAGTCAAGTCTTGTCACACATATATGGAATATATAAGAAGTTTTCATCTAAAATTGATCACAAATTTGCAAAATTGGGATGACAATATAAACCAAGCAAATTTCTATAATAAAATTTTTTTAAAACTTTGAACAAAATAATTCAACAGAAATTAATCAAATTTAATAAAAATTTTAAATTAATTCTGTAGAGTTGTTGAAAAAAATTTTATAAAGCTAAATTTCTGTTTTTTTTTTTTTTTTTATAAAAAATTCGCTTGATTTCTATTGATTCATTCCCGGGTTCTAAAAATTTAATTGCCCACTATTCCAAGACCAATTGTAGCAAGACTTGACTATATATAATATTTATCTACCTTAAATTTTCCATCAGCTTTTAGCACACTTTCTATAAAATTGGCCGCCACCATATTGGACGTCCCTATCAGTAATTTGTTGTATACTTCGACAAGCATGTCACACAATGTATAGAATGTCTGAAAATAATCCAAATCGAAAGGCTATAGAGGTTGAAAGAATAAAACTCTTAGATGCAATGGGTCATAAAAATTTATGGAAATACATGAATTCCGCTTACTATATTTGGCACAAAAAGGTATGTGTATTCTCCACTTTCTTGAAATGATGAATCATCATGTTTTGTTATCTTTGATTTCCTAAAAAATATTTTCTTCATAATAGATGTTTAAGATCCGTTAGTCTTATTCGACTTGATAAATGCACGAAATGAATATGCATTATGTTTACCATTTTTTGTTTCGAGTGATCATTGGTATGATATTCAAATTCTTGTAGCATCACGTTCAAGGCTTTGACGTAGTCTTGTGGGTTACTTATATCAAGTATTGATGCCAATGAACAACCGAGAATAAAAAAGTTTCCTGTGCTATAAAGTAAACATATTCAGTCAAAATGCTGTGACTGTAACATGCTATCATATAATTGACTTTACCGTTTCTTCATTCTGACATTTTCGTACATCATTCCCAGATCTTCTTTGCTTAAACATACGGTGTTAAACCAATGTATCCTTCCTTCATGAACTCGTTTCAAATATGAAAAAGTCGTTATACGTTTTTGCACAAGCTCATATAAAAAATCATATGAAGACGTTGTTCCAGTATGGTCTGATGAGTTGGAGGGTGAGCGAGGGCTTGGTGTTGGAAAATGTGCAGACGGTAAAATTGTCGTCGCAGTGGTATTCTGTGTCAGGGACGCATTTGCAACGGTTGAATTTGCTGATTTGTCCATGCGCGTTATTTTATCTCGAATGTCTTTATGAACATGCGTAATGACTTCTATTTACGGAGAATTCTAATGGTATTATATTTTTAAGCTCAAATTCAAATACCATAACCTAAAAAGATGAACGATCCTCTAAGTTCGAAAGGTCTAAACTGACAATAATTTTACTTATGGTGAGACTAATGTAATTTATCCATCTTGCACAAAAATGATTGTAATACAAACATCGAGTATTTTAAGTATTTAATGTTAAAAAATCATCGCGTGGTTTAAGGTCACGATTTTTGATATATAACAATTCAAAAATTGAACAATGGAAGAATCACCACAAAGTGTTGGAGAAACTAACACTCACAGCAACGTTACTGGTGCTACTGGTTCTTCTATCGCTGATTGTATAGAAATACTCGACGATAATGACATATCCTCGCAGACAAATCAAAGTGTGAATATTCAGAGAAATGAAAGTATAGAACTTGAAGAAGAGGTTGAAGAGGCCGATACCGATCCCGACAAGATTATGTATGAAATCCCGGTTTATCTCTCTCAAAAACTCACAAACAAACTCTTTATAGTTCAACACCCTGTCCGACCACGCGCAAACCCCTATATAGGTAAAAATACACCACGCGAAGCGCGTTTCAAGCCGCATTCGCAAAAACTCGAACTTGACATCCCACTACAGACCACCTCCCAATGGTATGATCGGGATAGAGGTGCAGAATTAGCGTTGGGACTTAATGATAAAGAAGCTAGAACCATTTACGATCGTACATGGAAATTTGATCAATATGATGGATTATTAGACAAACAAACATTGCAGTCTACTATTGTTCCACCACAAGCAACTTATTGGATGGGGACGATGAAAAATAGTAAGTATACAAGTAATTGAACCGATTAAATTGTGAGTATTTACAATTATTTACAATTTTTTGCTATTACTTTTTAGATGCCCTTCATTTAACACCTGTTCATGCAACATTACAATTACGCCCGGGATTAAAATATCATGACAAGATCGATGAAAAAAATAGAAATGCTAATAAAAAAGCTCAGGTTCTTGAAGAAGAAGATAGTATTAATGAATTAAAAAGCTCCAGAATGATGTCTGATGAACATAGTATCGTGTCCAACAAAGTTAGAGGATCTGGAAAGGGGAAAATTTCCATGGTAATTTATAGAAATCATAAATATTATTTGGCAAATCTTTATTTAAACGTACTCAATTTATTTATTAAAACTTTATATCAGAATGCTATTACAGATAAAAGTACGGATAAATCACTGCTTAAAAAAAACTCCCGTCCAAAATTACAACGAATAGGAGAGGAAGAATCATGGATTAAGATGAGATATTATGATGCTGAAGTAAGATAAATAACCAGCACCACATTAATATTTTAATTTGCTGATCGTAGAACTGTTTTTTTTAAATCTAGTCCATAGAGACGGATGAAATATTTAATCAAATTCGCACGATACAGACTGATCCTTTGGTGTGCACTACAACTAATTTAAACGAGTATCTCGACAAAATAAGCGCTTTTCCAACGACTGTCATTGACAATACAATTGTTGTGGATGAAATTGTGAATCGACCACCCAATAAGCTTCTTTCTACTAATTTGAGGACTGATTCTATATCTAAACCCATTGAACTTTTGCCCGCTAAGCCTCAACTCAATTCCACTACGAGATCAACTCCTAGTAGTTCTAAGAGTCTGAGCTCGAAAGGAACAAGGGTTAGTCCTTCAAGGGGAACTAGAGGATCACGAGGAGGAACAGGAATAAGAGGAAAACGAGGTAGTGCTTGTACCCGGATATTTAGTCGAATATCCGGATAGACATTCTATTTAATCCGGATTTATAAATAAATGTTTATTCAGTAAATTTGATTCTAATCCGGTTTATATCTGGCCTATATTAGCTCACTAGGAAAAAGACACTACAGTCGGATGTGTCGATCGCACCTTTTACGGTATTAAACCGTTGATTAGACGTACACTTAAATAATGTTGCATGGTTTCAAAAAATAAAAATTGTTATATGTATATAGTATACATATCGATATAGTTCAGTGAGCATGATTTTTAAAAAAGTTTTTTACTGTATTTAAACGACAAGTGGGCATGTGTAACGAGATATGACTGATCAGATCAGTATGGTATGGATATGATTTTATCAAACTGTACTATACTGTTTTGCTTAATTGTCACACCCAGTGTTATAATTCAAAAAATTTTTATTGACGCAAACCCAAAAAATATGCACAAAAAAGAAATCTATACGCGCTTTGTATATATGGAAAGCGCTGATATATGCGCAAATTTAAACCTATGTACGCTGTGCCTACTGCGCGGATCCAATTTACATCACTGGTCACACCCCTATAGTGTTCCGTACGGACCGGATTGGACGGATCTTTTTAAGGATCCGAATCTGATCCGAAAATCGGATCGGATCCAAGTTAGGATCCGAATCCGACTTGGATCTGATCCGTTCAAATTCGCTGATGATTCCGATATACTATCAACCAATCGTATCTCGAATTTTAGTAAATCGGCCAATCAGAAAAGTGTGGGATTCACGGTGATTCAAAGAATATGTTATAAGGAGAAGCGAAAGCATTAATTCATCCGTTAAATTTACTCTCGTTTCATAGAAAATTAAGCTACCCGAGCTTTTATAAAATGTAGTATAAAACGTACAAAAATATTATTTATTGTCGCAGATCATAATGAAATCGGATTAAAATGAAATGAGGGGTTTCTATTTGACCCTCCCATTTATACTTACTATAAAACCTGCTTCTAAACCCTAATCCTAACTCTAAAAAAATGCTAAAAAAAATACACCCCAAAAATTTTATTTTTCGGTAGCTTGTCTATTTTATACTATCACTCATTTTATTTTAATCTGATTTTATTTTAATCTGCCACATTTATTAATTGTGGCTCTTGTTGGTCTATAGAGCTTTTTTAAATTGATAACATCTATATAATTGGCTGTTATAAATTTTGGAATATCTGATAAATATTTGCCAAATGATGATTTATGATCTGATTTAGTAATTTTTTTTCTTCGATACTTCAAAGTAAAAAGTGATTGTTAAAAGTATAAAATCTAATAAACATATTATTCTAAAAATATATATTGATTACCATAACCAAATTTCTGCTAATAATAAATGAAAAAAGATTGAAAATCAAAATAAAATTATAAAAACTATCAATAAAATGAAATTGTACTAGAAAATATTGTAGATTTTCTTTTTAATGCTCTTCTAGAAGATTATAACTCTGATTATTAATTTGAGTAAAAGGTTTTTATAATTCTGAATCCAAGACATAGCAACAAAAAATTGTTGAACATTATGAACCCAAATAGTAACAAATATTTTGGTAATATTAATAAAAATTTTGTGCCATTGCATAAATCAGATGATTATAATCATTTAAAAAGCAATGGAATATTCCAAATACTTAGAAAAACCATTAATCATAATACTTTCTGGTTATACATTTAATGAGTTATTCAAAATAAATAATTAATTAATTTATTGCTTATTGTTATTATTTTGTTACATAGTTTGAATTTTTTTTATTAAGTTATATAAATTTTTAGTACTCGAAATATTAGTCATATGATATTTAAAACTTTTTTAAATAGTGATTTTACCCTGATTATAACTATATAGGGTGTATCAAACTAAAATACAGCTTATAGCTTTTTTTAAATTTTAAAAAAATCAAGTTTAAAATTTTATGTAACAATAACAATAGTGATCTATTATTAGTATAACCTGTTAGATCGATATAAATTAGCCAATTATGCAGATATATTTCTATAATTCTGCAGCAAAGATCAACAATTAGATTTTTGAATTCTAATTTTAGATTATAGCTAACCATATATAAGATTTAAAAAAAAGACATTGACAAAAATTTTATTATATAAATCAACATTTTAAATATCAAATTATCTAGAAGAGTATCTACTTTATATGACCGTATAGTTAACTCATTTTTGCAAAAAATACTATAAACTATATTTTAGTTTAATACACTTCATATATATAATTAACTAATCAGTATATGATATTATGCAATACTATTATGAATCTAGATCAAGTATACCTGACCAGATCCTACTATAGATCTGAATTTATATAGATCTAAAAATAATGAATCTGAACTCATTTCGTAAGCAGTTTCAAATCAGATCCGGATCTTTTGCAAAACACTATATTACTAGAATTTAAGATTAGCTTTGTTTGGAATTATACTTAATACCAACCAGATTTTATAGAGTGTAATAATTAAACAAAATAGTATAGTATAGTTTAATAAAATCACATCTATATTATACTAATTCGGTTAGTTAGAGATATGACAAAAATCAAGTAATTTTTTAGAGGAAAGAGGTAAAAAAAGTTAAAATTATATATAAGAACCTGATATTTTTTATATTAAGAGAGAAGAGAGATAAACCTCTAATAAAAAATAATCAGGTGATAAATGATACTGCTCTTATACCATACTAATCTTTTGTCTTTGTATAATATTACTATACAAAATTGATTAATATATTATATTTCTTAACTAATAGCCAATAAAACTTGTAAATTAATCAATTAGTTAAAATTAATTTTTTAATAAAAATAAAAAATTAATATTTTTATTTTATTTTTTGATAATATTACATTTCTGTTATTATATATTAATTGTCTGAAATAAAGTAACAAACTTATATTTCTATATTTTTTAATAACTAAAATTTTTTTTTGTAATTCTTTTTTTTTTAATATTAAAATTAGATCTTGCCTTGTATCTTTATTAAATAATTTCAAGTATTTGTCTTATATAGCTATATATCTATCTTAAAAATACAAGCTTAAATAATCTAAACCTACCAGAGTATGTTATATTCTTATCATATATTAGATTATACCTGAATTTGATATTCAGACTATTTCTAGTTACCTATTATATTCACTTCATGTT